GAGGGAGGGAGGGAGGGAGGGAGGGGAGGGAGAGGGAGGGGAAGGAGGGAGGGAGGGAGGGGAGGGAGAGGGAGGGAGAGAGGAGGGATGGGAGGGGAGGGAGAGACAGAGAGGAGCGAGAGAGGCGAGAGAGGGAGGGAGGAGAGAAGAGAGAGAGAGAGAGAGAGAGAGAGAGATAGAGAGAGAGAGAGAGAGAGAGAGAGAGAGAGAGAGGGAGAGAGAGAAAGATAAGAAACATCTTAAGGGGGGAGCCAATCTTCTCGCCTCCTCCGCTGACCCACGTCCTGGGCGGAGAGATCAACATTCATCATCTTTTTTTAGCAGTAAATCAAAATACATTTTTTTTTTTTTTTTTTATCAATGAAGTAACAATTCTTTTTTTTTATTTAATGAATAGCAAGTATAAACCACAACGAATAATCCTAGCACCGCCAGCAAGCAAACCCGAGGCGGTCCCCGAGCTCCCGAGACCTCCGTTCAGCCGAGACGATCCTCACACCCGCATGCAGATGAGGTGAAGCAAAGAACCGTTTGCAGCGCCCCCCCTCCCCCCCCCCCCCGTCCCCTTCGCCGACATCCTCCAGCGTGTGTGTGTGTCCCTCTTCCCTGAACCCCTATTTTCACCCCCTTTCCCCCTACCCTTGACCCTTATCCTACTCACGCCCCTTCTACCCACCTCCCCTGTCCCTCACCACTATTCTAATCCCATCACCCCCCCCCCCTTCTCCGTGGCCCTCTCTCTTTCTCTTTTCTCTATCTCTCTCTCTCTCTCTTCTCTCTCTCATCTATAATAATATATTATATATATTATATACTATATATTATATATAATTTATATGAGTTATACATATAGTATTATATATATATATATATCTATATATATATATATATATCCCTCCTCTCTCTCCTCATCTATCATATCTCCTCTCCCTCCTCTCTCCCTCCCTCCTTCCTCCCCTCTCCTCCCTCCCCTCCCGTCTTCCCCCACCCTCTCTCTTCTCTCACTCTCTCGACACGTACCTGACACAACCTTCCCCTTGCCTGTAGCCTAGAGTCACGCACGAGCAACTGTAACCCTGTCACCATCTCCAGCGTCCGTTACGATTGTGGTCGATCGGCATTCCACGACGAGAGAGAAAGGGAGGAGGGAGGAGGGAGGGAGAGGGAGAGAGGGAGGGGAGAGGGAGAGACGGAGGGGAGAGGGAGAGGGAGAGGGGAGAAGAGGGAGGGGGGAGGGAGGAGGAGGGAGGAGGGAGGGAGGAGGGAGGGAGAGGGGAGAGAGAGAGAGAGAGAGAAGATGAGAGAGAGAGGAGAGGGAGAGAGAGGAGAGAGAGGAAGAGAGAGAGAGAGAGAGAAGAGAGAGAGAAGAAGAAGAAGAAAGAAAAAGAAAAAAAACAAGAGAAGGAATTAGAAAAAAAATAGAGCAAGAGGATAAGCAGAGGATAAGCAGAGAGGGAAATGGAGACTTGAGTGGAACCAAAAAAAAAAAAAAAAAAAAAAAAAAAGAGAAAGGCAGAAACAAAGACAAACCGAAGAACAAAGAAGAGAAGGGAAAGGAAGAGAGGAAGAGAACTTAAATTAACGAAATGCCACAGAGGTTGACAAGAGGAGAACCGTGCAAAGTAACCCAGAATCGTGATCGTGTACAAGTTGCGAGCCCTCGAGATATGCAACAAAAACAGGTAAATTAACTTGCAACAATGATGTCCCCACAAGAGTCACAATACCTGATCTCCTGGTCACCATTACCCAGGGCCCGTTGCTATGGTTACCCACGTCATGGTGAATGTAACAGGAATCGAAAATACTCACGCACATGTAACGCCGATGCGATCATGTGTGCACGCAGACGTAATGCAGATACGTACATGGACGCACACAGATGTAACGCCGATACGACCATGTGTGCACACAGATGTAACGCAGATACGACCATGACCGCACACAGATATAACGCAGATACATACATGAACGCACACAAACATAACGCAAATACGTACATGAACGTAGATGGACATCCATAGAAAGACACAGACATAGACCTTCCATATATACATACACGGACGTACACACACACACACACACACACACACACACACACACACACACACACACACACACACACACACACACACACAAACACACGACACGTTTAACCTTCAAATAGAGCGGAACAAATAATGCTACCTCGTCAGAGTATGTAAATAGACATGAAGGAGGAGGAGAGGGGGGGGCAGAGGGGGCGTAGTAGGTGGAGGAGGAGGAGGAAAGAAGAACAAAAGGAAAGACAAAAGCAGGCAGAGATAGATAGATAGAAATAGATAGATAGATAGATGGAAGATAAGAGAGAGAGAAAGAGAGGAGAGAGAAGAGGAGAGAGAGAGAGAGAGAGAGAGAGAGAGAGAGGAAGAAGAGAGAAGAGAGAGAGAGAGAGAGAGAGAGAGAGAGAGAAGAGAGAGAAAGAGAAAAGAAGGAAAGAGAGAGAGAGAGAGAGAGAGAGAGAGAGAGAGAGAGAGAAGAGAGAGAGAGAGAGAGAGAGAGAGAAGAGAGAGAGAGAGAGAGAGAGAGACGCGAACGAGAGAATGAGAGAGAGAGAGAGAAGGGGCCGCAGCAAGGACGACGACCAGTGCCATAAATGAAGTGGAAACAGAAACATGAAAGTCGAGTAAAGACAAGTCAGCGAGGAGAGGAAGGGGGGAGAAGGGGAGGGAAGGGGGGGAGAGGGAGAGGGAGGAGGGGAGGGAGAGGGAGAGGGAGGGAGTAGGAGGGTGAGGAGAGAGGAGGGGAGGAAAATGGAGGAGAAGGGGTGAAGAGAGAGGGAAACCGGAGACCAGAACAGGGGAAAGGTAAGAAGGGAGTGACGGAGAGGGAGATGAGAGAGAGAAGATTGGACAGATTGAGCGAGAGAAGAGGAGAGATGATAAAAGAGAAAAAAAAAGTAAAGCGAGGAGAAAAGAAGAGCTGAAAAACGAACAAAGATAAAAAAAGAAACAGAGACAAAGACAACAGAATAAAAAAAGAAAGGAGATGAGACCGAAGGAATACGGAGAACAAGAGAACGGAGAATGGAGAACAGGGAACGGGGGAGGGGAGGGGGAGGAG